TCACCCCGGAGCCAATAATTATGCAAAGTGTCTGTTTAATCTTCAGGGAAGCTGCTGTGGAGCAGCTTCCATCTGCAAGTTGTTCGCCACTTATGCTGCTTCCACATCAACGACTACAAAACTGCTAATACTGAAAGAACGGACAGCAGCTGCATACTCTGCATCAGATGGATCCATGTGTTCCTTGGCAGGAATGAAGCACAGCCAGCAAAACAAGCTCTTTGTGGTGTCCGCTCTGAGCTCTTTGCAATATTTCAAGTGAGACTCTTTTTCTGAGCAGCGATGAACATGCTCAGATATTGCTTCTTTGCTGTCCTGGTTCTCAGTGTCTCACTTCCATTTGTTTTCTTCGCTGTTAATTTGCGTGCACAAAAATCTCTTAGGAGGCTGAACTTCTCGGTGACTTCAACTCTAGCAGAAGCCTGTAAAGATATTATTGAAGGTAAGGCGCCCTTCCTGAAGGAGAACACCTTAAAGACATCACTCAGAGAATCCAGTTGCACGGAGTACATCGTGGGGAACCACTACATCACCCGCGCCCTCTCGGCTGAGGAGGCCGCCTTCCCCGTTGCCTATGTCGTGACCCTGCACAAGGAGTTCGAGACCTTCGAGCGGCTCTTCAGGGCGGTCTACACGCCCCAAAATGTCTACTGCGTCCACGTGGATGCCAAGGCGCCGGCCGCGTTCCGGCAGGCGGTGCGGCGCCTGGTGGGATGCTTCCCCAACGCCTTCCTCGCCTCCCGGGTGGAGCGGGTGGTCTATGGCGGCATCTCTCGCCTGCGGGCTGACCTCCACTGCATGAGAGACCTGCTGGCCTCGGCCGTGCCCTGGCGTTACCTGCTCAACGCCTGCGGCCAGGACTTCCCCTTGAAGACCAACCGGGAGATCGTCCGGCTGCTGAAGGGCTTTGGGGGGAAGAACGTCACCCCCGGGGTGCTGCCGCCGCCCCACATCACCGTGCGCACCAAATACGTGCACAGGGAGAAATTATACTCTTTCTTTTCTTTCATGCTGCGGACATTCGTGCGCAAGGAGCCCCCACCCCACAACCTGAC